CCTCACATAAAAAAGACTAGTACTATTGTCTTTGGATGTTCTAAGGCACTCTTCCAAGAAATGAATTTTAATGCTTTCTTGATGATTAATTTGTATAAGTCACACAGGATGCTAAAATTCCATTTGACAATTTAGGCTTAAAAAGACAAAGTTTAGGAATAAAGCAGAACGGACTGATTGTCCGCTCTTTTAAAAAGGGCTATTCCCTCTAAATTCCCTTTTATTAAAGCCATACTCAGAACTGTCAGAAATTATGATCCCCTGCTCCCATTTCTTGAGCCGAATGCTCCACTACCATAGTAAATAATTATGTTATAGATAATACACATTTTTTATAGATTGGATTAATATACATATTAGACCCAATATGTGTATGCAATTTAGCTGGAATGTTCTGGTTCTCTTTTCTACTATTAATTATGTTCCACCAACATCAGACTGCAGAAAGGTTCTACGTGCAAGATACTAGACTAACCACTTCATATGGATTATTGTCTCCCAGCTCACCTCCATTTTACACACAAAGAAACTGAGGCGTGTACAAGCCAAGTAACTAGCCCACAATCACTCAACTGGTAAGGGCACGAGCTGGCATTTGAACCCAGGTAGGGAGGTTCTTGACCATTCTTCTAAGCTGAGCTTGAGGAGTAAACCAAATTTACATTAAAAAGGGTAGAGAAAAGAAATCTGCACCCCCATGTTCATAGCAGCATTAGTCACAATAGCCAAGCCATGGAAACAACCTAAGTGTCCACTGATGGTTGAATGGATAAAGAAATTGTGGTATACATATATGATGGATTATTATTCAGCCATAGAGAAGAAGGAAATCCTGTTATTTGTAACACCATGGATGGACCTTGAGGGCATTATGCTAAGGGAAGTAAGTCAGACAGAGAAAGACAAATACCGTACGATCTCACTTATATGTGGAATCTAAAAATTTTTTAAAAACTCATAAAAAACTAGATCAGATTTGTGGTTACCAGAGGCAGGGTGGGGGGTGGGGATGGGATTGGATGAAGGTGGTCAAAGGTACAGAGTTCCAGTTATAAGATAAATTAGTCCTGGGGATGTAAAGTACAGCATGGTGACTACAGTTAACACTGCTATATGATGTATAGAAAAGTTGTTATGAGAGTAAATCCTAAGAGTTCTCATCACAGAGAAAAAAATTTTTTTCTTTTTTTGGTTGCTCTTTTTATTGTATCTATATGAGATGATGGATGCTAACTAAACTTATTGTGGTAATTATTTCCAATATATGTTAAGTCAAACTATCATGCTGTACACCTTAAACATATACAGTGATGAATGTCAATTATATCTCAATAAAACTGGAAACAAAAAAGAATTTACTGACATTACATCACAAAATAAATTCATCCAAAAACTTTTTTAAAAATGTAGAGAATAGATTTACCCAGAATAGAACAGATCTTGAGGTCTAGAGGGAAGGAGTGGGGAGCCCAGAAGATTTTGCTAACACTAATGTAAGTAGGAAAAGAAGCCATTTATAGGTACAACTGCCACCATGAGTAAGATTTTGTCGAGACAGATAAGAAAAGAGGTCAATTTGGATACTTTATGTCCTTCAATGACATCTATTCTGGAAATACGTTTTAGATACCTGGGAAAATGTAAATGTTCCTTCATTCCTTTCCTGTGTAAAGTCGGTGTATCTTTTGAATATGATATTTAGTAGGATTTGCCATAGGGCTATATTAACACAAAAAACAAAAGGTTGGGTATCCACTCTATAGGGTTTAAGCCTCACATTGGCAAAATGTCTGCCCAGCAATTGGAATCGATTTTGTCTCCTCAATATGCATGAGGGAGAGCAGCAACCCTCATTTTAACTACTCAGCGTTAAGATGAGGGTTTTCTACCAGTAATTCTTGAGGTAGAAAGGGAAGTAACTGAATTAGAATCTCAGAATGGGTAGGTGCTCAAAAAGCTCAAAACAACTCTTCAGCTGTAACTTTGTTTTCAATTAGGGTATATACTTGACTATGAATTTAAAGGGTGGCAAAACTCTGTGTTAGGTTTTTATTGCTGCTGTAACACACTGCCACAAAAGTTGTGGTTTCAAGAGCACACGTATTATATTACAGTTCTGAAGGTTGGAGTCCTACTGGGCTCAAATCAAGGTGTCAGCAGGGCTGTCCTGCTTTCTGGGGGTTCAAAGAGAGAATCCATTCCTCGTCTATTCCAGCTTCTAGAGGCTGCCAGATTCCTTGCCTCCTGGCTCCCTCTCATCCTCAGAGCCAACAGTGGCCCGTTGTGTCTTTCTTAGATTGTTTCACTCTGGCTCTAATCTCCTCTTTTTCCTCTGTTTTCCACGACTAAGGGTCTTTGTTATTAAATACTGGGCCCACCCAGATCATCCAGGATATATTCCCCCTATTTTAAGGTCAACTGATAAGGAAATATAATTCCATCTGCAAATTTAACTCCGCTTTGCCATGTAACAACATATTCACAGATTCCAGGGATTAAGATTTGTGCATCTTTGGGGAGTCATTATTCTGCCTACCACAAGTGTCTGTTTCTCAAAATTAGAAATTCTTGTCTGTGTTGCAGTCCCAACATCTAAAGCACAGCTGGCACATGATAGGTACTCAGAACTATTTTTGGTAGCGAAGTAAAGTTGTCTTTGCTCATTACCCTTACCTTCTGATCAATGCAGAAAGAAAGACGAATCTAAAAAACAGAGTATCAAGTGGAATTTTGAATTCCAAATATCCAATATTGCTCTCTACACCGTTAATTAAATGCACTGAAATGATTAATTGCTCTGATAAGATGGTTCCTAAAGGAAGTTCTTTGGAGGAATTAGCATGATACCACATTTTCAATGTGTTATTATAGAAGTAAAGTTTCTTCATTTAGTTAATAGCCAATAGTTAAATATCTAAATCTCCACATTGATTCTCAAATTGATGCAAATATCTAAAAAAAAAAAAAAAAAAACACAAAATTCCCTACCCAACAGGCTGTGATTTGTTGTTTGTGCAAACATACAGGCATGTAGCTTCACTCATTAGCAAAATTCTATTATTTACATATTATACAGATACGGAGTCTACATTTTCAGCCCCTATCGGATTTCTGACTTTTCTTGTCAAGATCATGTGAGATGTACGCAAAAGTGCTCTAAAAAACCTAAAGACATACACAAGAGGCACTGGATTTATTCTTAAGTGAGGATTGCTTTTCCATCAGGTAGCATTTTTCACATTTTTATATTCCCAAATTCCTGTTCAACACTGAATCGCAATGAAATGGTCAAATTGTTTATGATTTCAATCCACACAATTGCACATCTATGGTTCTGTCATCAAGGAAGCTATTGATTTTTCTTCATAGGTGGTCTAATTTGATCCAACCTCTCATAGAGGGAGGCATTCTATTTGAAGCGCATTCATTGTTTGTGAGGTTAGCTCTATGAAGTCCCCAGCTGGTAGACACGAGCATGTCAAATGTACTATGAAAGCAATTTTAAACCTTTATCCTGTTTCGTTTCTTTCCCTTCTCTTTCTGTCTTTCCTTCATTATAGTTTATATTTGAATAGTTCATTATGAGCAAGATCATGACCCAGGTGGCTTCTGAAATGAGAAGTCTCACTGGTTTTGGATGCAGTTATCCATCTTTTCGCACATGCACAAAGCCGTTGCCCAGGGACTGTTCCGCACTTAGGCGGCTCAGTGTGCTGCATGGAACTACGGCAGGCAAATGTCAGTTTAACTCCTTGAATCACATTCAGTCCTAGACTTTACAAGGTAATTGTGTGATCTGTCGCCATAACGACAAGGGCCACATGCCAGAAGCTACTAATATAATGAAGAGCGGTCCTTTAATTTCTTTCTCTGGGCGTTCTTTGTGATTTCAATAACAGACAACCCTAGCCTGGTTTTTCATGACACTCTGCTTAAACTACCTTCTAGTATTGACATGGAGAAGGCAGATGGGATACAACTTTGGAGATACAACTTTTCCAAGGACTAAAGGAAAAAAATGAAAAGAAATTTCTCCATCAGAGTTACTAAGGACACACTTTAGTTTCTATAGTAGATGATGTCTATGATTCCTACAAATTACTTCTTTAAATTCCAGTAAGATTTCATTCTATGCTTCTCTTTCTCCTCGTCTAAAAATAGCCTATGGAAATGGTAAATGAGAAGTGTGATATCATTGTAGAATAACTTTAATCTGGTTAGTCTTTATAAAAATATTAATTTGAAATCTACACGGACAAAGAGATACCCACATTTTACTAGCATTGTATTAATTAATATTAACATTATTGTTTTTACAGATTTTCACTGTTGTGTTGGCAGAAAGAAATAGGCCATTTTGTTTAAGCAAGTACATTATTTTCTAACGGAGCTAGAATCATCTGACAACACACATTTGCCATTTGATTGCAGTGAATATTGGAAAAAAACAAGGTCCAAATTTATGTTAACAACATGGATTCTAAATAATGAAATTCAACTGTTTTATGAAATATCCCTTGCTTGTGTATTTAAGACAATTAGGGGTTCCTTTCAAGACTCAAAAAAAAAAAAAAAAAAGAGTGCTAAAATCTTAAGGCATTGAAGCAAGAGGAACCATTCTTTGTAATTTTCAGTTTGCTAACTTAAGCATGATAATGTTCTTAATTCTATTATTTTCTATAGGTTTATTCCTTTAGAGATGATTCAGGTTTAACATCAACACTACACGCTCGCACTGGTTGTCATCTGCAAATAAACACCATAACAATGCTAAAAAGGCAATATATGACAATAGTTAGTCCTCAATTATAGTATTGTCCATCAGCTAGATGCTCAGTAAATACAAGTGGAACAAATGATAAGTTAACGGGAATAACTGTATTAGGAATATGAGAAAAAATAAATGGGTTATAGAAAATACCATGCACAGGTCACCTCTTGGCAAATCTCCCCGAGACTGAGTGAGCAGGTGTTGTTTTCTCTTTCAAAAAAGTACTTACCATCCTCCGTGGGCACGTAGATGTTTAAGTAAAGGCAGTCTTCATTTTGATCTTGCACGTAGGTCATTAAAGTATCCAGATTGGCGGTAAACCATATGGGCAGCATGTCATGCAAGAGAGACCTCTCATCCAGGTGTTGGGGGCACACAGCAGCAAACTGGGTGGCATTTCGAACCCCAGTCCATGAAGATGGGGGTTCTGGGGGCTGAAACCGTCTCTCTCCAGTGGGAGGCGAGGCATAAGGGACCCCCAAGTATTGCTCCACTGGACCCAAAATCTCATTGGGCAATGGTGTTCTTAGACCCCGGATTTTGCCGTAATTTGTGTTGACAACCGGATACTGTGCCTGGCAGTCAATGAGCGTGAACTTAATGGCAAGAGCGGTTATCCACAGGAGAACATTGGAGTTCAACATGACGCAGACTGGGGTGAAGAACAATGGAAGCCATAACAGTCTCTTGGGTCTCGACATTGTTCACTTCCACATTCGCAGGTGTCTGTGGCATACAACTCAGAGCAAACAAAGCCGTGAAGCAAGTTCTTGGAGAGAGAGGGCTTTCCAGGGAGGAAAAGACCCAGGAGAGGGGACAGGCTTGCTAGGAAGCCTCTCAGATGGGTCATAGACAGAGCCCAATGTTAAGAACAAACCCAGTGGTTTTCTTGGCAGCCCATTGCGAGAGAGCGTTCCTCCCTTAATTCCGGAACCAGCTTCCAGCAAAAGCGAGGCTCCAAGGAAGTGGCGACCATCCAACACCTCCCAAGGGCAATGATTCCTTATGAAAACTCCAAGGCAGAGCAGTCAGCCTAGTGGGAAAAGAAAGCAGACAAGGATAATGAAGCCAAAACAACTGTCACCTAAGCCATTCGCTTTCTCTTCCATGCAACCCTCAACATCACTCCATGAAATTCTTATTCACTCATGAATTTGTATAATGGCGTCTCCATGTAGTAGAATCTAGCAAGCATGTCACTTGTCTTAATTCTTGCTGTGTGCCCATCACCTGAAACTATGCCTGACATTTGGGAAACACTCAACAAGTCTGTGTTGAATGAACAAACAAATCCCCAAAAGTTATACATGTTACACGATAACTGTAACGACATCTCCCAATTTCACTATTATTTACAAGATTGGCCCATCGATGGATAGGTACTTCCAAATCACTGTCTCTCAGATGTTTTAGGAAACTCACTTTTTCCTAAAATGATATTCATGGAGCTCTAAAAGTTTTCTGGGACAGGGAAAATGGAAGCCTGTATCTGGGCCAAACTGGCTTCACTGCATGTCGATATTTATCGTATAACACAAAGGGAACATCACCTAATGGAAAGAGTCTAGACTTTGAATATTAATCCTTCTTGGGCTACTCAATGGCACATGTTTTTAGGCTATATACACCAGAGCCCTGAATCTCAGCTTCCTTGTAAAACACTGAACAAGATGGTGCATTTCAACTACATGCTCTAGTGCTTGTCACATCCACACATCATTCATAATTAAAAGTGTTGATACAGCTCTTCTGACTTTCATGTAAAGCACTGCATGCCTTTGAGGGTAAACCCTGCAGCCCATTTAAAAAGCTTATGGTACATTTGAGCCTGGGAGGAGTCAATGGCTAAAGAGTCCCTCCTCAGTTTGTCTTGACGTAGATCCTACGACTCTTACTAAATGAATCATACCTCCCATGACATTGAAGAATGTTGTGCACTAGTGAAGAGTGTCATAAATGATCCATTAGGGACAGAAAACATTTCATTAGGTGTTGCAAGGAGTATACCTTTAAACACAGAATTTTTCAACTCCCAAATAGACAAAGGCATGTGTAAGTACACTGTGGGTTATTCAGAGTCTATCTGGACTAGAATACAATTATGCATTTCATTTAAGTGAACAGTTGAGCAGAATATGTCAAACAGCTAATTTTTGGAAAAATGAAACATATCAGAGCTGGTTCTATCATGGAGCTATAGTAGCCTTGGGGGAAATTCTGTGGTCCATGACATCCTGGGCCAAGCTAACCAGAGTTGAATGAAGATACACTAAAAATCTAGATTGTAACATTGCAAGTGAAAAATAGCATCAGGCCAAATGGCTGATTTATGTGTTTGCTTCTCTCTTTGAATTCTACCATAGACAACACTTGGATTTCTGCCACACCGTGATCCAATTTCTGAATAATTAAGAGACAGACAAGAACAAGAAAGAGGTGATGACATGTTTGGAATCTTCTGTTTTCCTGAAAGCCCTTCTGCTTTTGAATCAGCGTTAGTTCTTCTTTCCGGAGCCTTCCTCAATGATAATAGGAGACGCCATTAATTTCTGATTCTGACAGACATGGGTCCTGGAATACTACCTCTGTGAGCTGAGGGAAGTGAGTCGACCTCTCCGGGCATGTAAATGGCGTGTCATACCTTCTTCATGGGGCTGTGGTGAACATTAAGTAAGGCAATATGCAAAGGTACAGGGCAGAGAAAACACTCACTCAATAAATATAAAACACTGGGATTTTGGACACAGACCTGCTTAAAAACTCCCAGGTACGGGGACAAAATGCACAGGCTCTGGAGTCAGCCCACTGCTGGCATTGAGCAGGTCTAGAACAAGTCATTTAAATTCTTTAAGCCTCCCTTTATTGGTCTGTTTATATCTGTGTGGGGATTAAATGAGATAGTCCACACAAAGCTTCCCACAGACCCTGGAATGCAGAGTTCAATAACGGTAGAATTCAGTTGGTGGATTTGTATCACAGCTTACAGAGTCCACACCGTGAGGAACTCTGGCCCACTCCATCAACGCTCCAACTCAAAATGGATGAGAGTATCTACAAGTCACACGCTCGTTAAGACTGCCCAAGCGGGGTCACACCTAGACTTCATGATTGAACGCTATGATCAAGTCTCTCCTCTGTCTAAACCCACCTGCCCACACAGTTCTGAGGGTCAGAGAGGGATCATGAACCAGCATAACCTCAGAGAAGGGGTCTGGGGGCATGTGAGCACTTACTAGGTCTAGGTTAGGTGTGCATAACATTCATAAGTTCAGAGCTACCTTTTATATTTCCTTGTTTTTTGAAATTTAGCTAATTTGAGCAAAAGTAATAAAACCTAAAGCCCACAGTCTCTCAGCCTTGGCACTGTTGACATTTTGAAGCACACAGCTCTTTGTGATGGGGGCTGTCCAGTGCATCATACGATGTTTAGCAGCCTCCCTGGTCTCCACCTATCAGATGCCAGGAGGACTCCTCTCCCAGTTTCAACAATCAAAAATGTCTCCAGACATTGCTAAAAGATCCCGGGGGGCAAAATGACCCCAGGAGGAGAACCACAGGTCTAAGTCATCAAGTATGGAATTACAGTGGCCATATAAATGATTAAGGCATCTGTGGGTACATTTAAAGATTATAATGAATGGCACTATATATGTGTTTGTGTGTATATATAGATGTATGCATGTGTGTGTGTATGTGCATGACATGTTCAAATGTTTGACAACTTTAAAAGTTTTAGCATTACCAGTAATGAACATTTTGAAAATAAACCTATCAAATATGCATCATCATCACTTAAAAAAATCCCTATAAATTTAACCAACCAATACACTTGGAGACCAAAAAAAAAAAAAAAAAGACCTCCCATGTAAGTGTCACATACTGAAAGATTTCACAAGGGGTGCAAGGTTGTTATATATACATATAACATATGTATATATTTAATATATCTTACATATAATACATGTATTTGTATATTACATATATTTTGTATAACATATATTTATATATATATATTTAATTTTCCCAAATTAAAAGGAAGATACTACAAAAAGAATTCTCTGAATAAAAAATTTTAGGGAGAAAAAGTAAAAACTATAACTTCATCGAACACAATTTGGGAGTTAAGCAGGACTTCATAGCATGTTCTCTGCAAAGTCTGCATGAACAGGAATATCTCAGAGTGGCATTTCGACTTGATTGATGACTTGATTGGGTATTTTAGAACAATTCTCCACAGGGCAGTCATTCTGTCTGAGGCTGTAATTAACATGAGGCTCAAACAACTCAGGCTTATCAGACTATAAACAAGTCAAAATAAAAATTGCCATAAATATCTCCCCAAAGCGCACATCACTCAAATTGAGATTGGTTTAATTTGAAAACAGATATTTCATTAAAGTGAGCCTGAATGAAATTTATTTTGGTATTTTGACCTCGTAAGGAATAAAATCCCTTCTCCTGGGTGTTCACGGTCTTAGCGTTCCGTGGCCGTGAAACATGTGCATTAGAAGACAGAGAACTTTGTGGATGCATCTTCAAAAAAACAGACAAAAGAGAGGATAAATGAGGTGGAAGCCCTCCTCTTCTTGTGTTACTCTCAGCTACGTTGAAGGCTTGGGACTCACTGAAGTATGTGCTGCCAAGAGCCTGCTGACAAGAGGCACTCGGAAGATTCACTTTCATCTCGCATTTGGAAGCATCCAGAAAACGAGAACAGCTGATCCTGGTCCTTGCCCAAATTAATGAGCTTGTACAGCAATCCTCCTATACCGTTTACTAGGAAAGCCTATAATAGCTATTCCCAAAACTCAGTGCAACATGTAGACATCTCGCATTTTCCTTTTCTTTTGTTTCTGGTGAGAACACCAACTTTTTATGGTACCTAAGTGGGTGTGGTTTATCTTTTGTTCCAGAGCACAGAGTTCTACCCTGAGGTGGCACTGTGTACCTGTTATTTACATGTACAACCTCTGCTTTGTGCATGGGTGTGTGGGCTTATCTCACACACACACACACACACACACACACACACATATACACCCCCTCTTAGTCCCTACCCAAGATTCACTCGATGCCAGCAATCAGCCAATTAGTACATTTTTGCATATATTTTAATATTCTGGTCTTGACTTTCTCTCCTAGATGGGCAAGGTTACAATCCGTTGTCTTCTGTCAAATCTTAAAGTTCTTTGGCCATTCATCTATGTAGTTTCTATTAGTTCTAAAAATCAGATCCAATAAAAATCCACCATTTTGAACCATGAAGCTTAGATGTAAATAAAGTATTTGGAAAATAAAATAAAGATGCCAAATGTACTATCTTCAAGGTGGTACTGTGCCCAGTGGAGGCTCAAGTCATCAATTGCATCACCTCCCTCACCATTTCTGTTCTTCCACTGAAGTTTAATGAGTCAGGAACACATATGAGCCACAGCAATAGGAACTGGAGTTTTCGACAAGAGGCAGAACACAGACTAAACCCAGGAGAAAGACTTAACGGCTTATATGTGGTCCAGTCAAGACTGCTTGGATAGAAAGATACTCGATACATATGTATGTCAAAGATATGATCAGGAATAAAGCATGGGTTTTTCTAGAGCAAACTATGTGGATAACAGGACCCTACAGTGGCCACAGAAATAAGGCAACACCAAAACTTAATCACACGTCAATAAGTATTTCATAAAGATCACTATTCTAGGTTATGGGGACACAGTGGGAGGAAATTCAGAATTCTTGCCCACTAGGAGCTTAGCTTCCCATGGAAGTATCCCTAAAAGTGGTGCTTGGTTTCTTATTCATCTTTTGTACATCTAAAGCTAGCACAAGGATTGGCATATTTAAAAGCTCATTAAATGCTTGACTTTGTGTGTCTAATTAAACTCTTATCAAACATGATTTCCAAATTTAAATCAAATAACTTGCAATTATCTCCAGAGTTTGTGTGGACCTCTCTCATCAAACTCAGTTGTATTTCTTCAAGGTCAAACTGTCATGTCTCCAGGAATACTGTCACTTAGATTGTGGTGCTCT